CGTCCACGTCTTCTCTTGTTTTTTTTTCAGTCTCGCGTTTAATATCACCGGTGGCTTTCCTCCGCCGTCCTCGTTGATGGATGTCGGTTTTTACGAGCGTGTAATTAAGACCGGAACGGTGTATCTTGCCCCTCTTTGAGAAGGATCGCAGGCGAAAATATGGTTGAATTGGTGTGAGTTTTAACCACGCGTCGCGGTGGAAATTTGTCGGATAATCGATATCGAGAGAGTATGGAGAATCCTCTTAAACGAGTGAATTGAGTTGAAGGCGAGGAGAGAATGTGACGAAGCGAAAATCCAATTAGGCTTCTCGAGATGTGTGTGTATCAAACTTAACTGGGGTGCGTCTAATTTCTGCACGTACGTGTCTAAACGTACAATTGCTTGGTGATTCGTGGTTGGTTGAATTGCTGTGTCATGCTTCCCTCTGGGACGTAAATGTGCGTTACATAATTTAATCGATTAAACTAGACCCCTCTTACACTACTATATCCGGATTTTCCGAGTACTCGAAATACTCGTTGTAATTCGAACTTGGCGTCGAAATTCGAGTATCGAGACTTGTGTTATATCTAGATTCGGATTTTCTTTGTTAATTACTCAAATATAAAGCTTTTTTTATCTAGACTTTTGATATTTATACTAGCTATCAGAGCTATACTGATATTAGACAGAATGTTACTGTATATATGTATATTATGCTATTATTATATATATTATTACATTATTTATTCATTTATTTAACCCTCCCCCCATATATATGTATATATTTTTTTTTTCTAACGTTGGCGGTCACCCATCTTAACATTAGTCGCGAGGAGTGAAGCTTGACTTGGAAAGCTACCGAAGAGTCACCCTGCCCACTCCCCATTTCTCCCCCGATAAAAAAACTGCATTCTTATATTATTTAAAGTTAGAATAACTATAGTAAATTTACTACACTCGTTCGACATAAAATAGTCACTTAAGGTGACTCTCGATCCTACAGATATCCGTAAATCCAAGCAATAATAAGCTCCCCAATTTAAACTATTCCTCGGTAATTAGCAAAGAAAACCCAAGTCCCGATATTCGAGTACTTCGACTCAGATTTCAACGGAAAGTTCGTACTATAATGAGTACTTCGAGTACCTCGGATATCCGAATAGTGAGAGCTCTAGTTTAAACAGGAAACCTTCTACAATATTCACTCATGGTTTAAACAATTTCATGTTCATCGACACAGTTATCGACCATGACATCGCAGGAACAACCCACGGACTGTTTAATTACAGGTGCACAAATATTGTCAGGATACTTACAGAAGACCACGCTATAGATCTCCCAAGCATTAACATGTTAAACAGCAGTCGGTTCGAATACCCGTCTACCGGTTGTAATCACACGCACTCTGACGTTTTGTGCATATATAATTATCGTGTCATGCACCCAATGTCTAAGACCATACGTTTGTGCGCGTTCTAATATAAACGTTCATTTACTGATAAACATGTACACGCAGATCTGTCTATAAATCCTGTTATTACACAATCGTTTATGAACGACACTCTCCTAACGATATACATATACAGAAATTATTCTCTGTTTGACTTGCGTTGAAACTCACATTGGAAATCATAGGCGTGTGGATTACAACCATAATCCTAGATACAAAATACTAGCCATGTTACTACCAGCTAAATATTGTACTAATTATCTGGTGAACAAACAGAACAGAATACTCGTATTGAAATACACCGTTCGATGCATACTCTGTTGAAACAATGTAAATACCCGAATCACAGTCTGTTAGTTCAATCTTGTTGCACGAAACCGACGTTGTTTATGAAATTCTACAGATGCAACTTACACAAACAAACAACAATTTCTCTCGCATACGCGTAACTTGTTCGAAAGGGACTAAGAGGAGAGCACTTCCTGTCGAAAATACTCGAGTCTGTTCGATGAAACGTGAAAACAATTCTCGAGTGTTTTCAAGCGGTACTTTAATCGTTTCATCTTGCTCCTACGATCGATGAATTGTAGACGGTGGATAAAATATCCTAATTGAAGTTCTTCTTTCTTACTTTTATCTTCATAATTGCTTCATCCTGTATCACAGAGACGAACAGTTCTCCCAGCATCCGTAATCTGAAATTATTTCCAACAAATTCGTTAGTTTTATCAAATACATTTCTAAACGTTTTCCTAGAGTTTAGCAAAGTAGCAAGGTCGACGAGTTTAAAAAGAAAAAAGAGAAATGTTGTACCAACATAAAAGAATCGACCAGTTTCCTCCGTTGTTCCTCGGAAAATTGAAGATAAGCCATCTCTATCGCGAACGTTCGGGCAGCAGTAAACTCCGATGCAATTCGGGTTTATCTGAGCAAAGATTACTATTATTGCGTCGGGTTATTGTTCAACGGTGGAGGAGAAGCAATTATTGGCTTCCTCGTTCAGCCATCGAATCGTGTTCTTCCGTTCCATTCGTCTATTAACCTTCTTGTGAAATTGGATACGTCTATTGTCGAACGCTTATTC